GGCTGCTCGAGGCTGCGTTTTCTCTGACAGCTTCAATCAAAATTAGAAATGCTGCTCTGAGACTGAGAGAGCTAATAGTGCTGCTTGTTGTGCAGTTTACAAAACACGTTATTCATGGTTACATACAGTTTTAGACTGATGTGGGCCAAAGCCTAGCATAGCCTGTGACGTTATTGTGACACATTTTATGAGTGAACTTGGCTTTAAGTGACTTGAAGGTTTCTTTGAAAAATACTTTCTTATATCCAGGTTCTTCCTCTTTGCTGCCGTCCTCCTCTCCTCCTCACAGCGCAGGCTTGGCGCTGCTAAAACTAAACAGAGCTCCCTGAAAGGCTCAGCCAATCACATTGGCCATATTTGTCACATGACGTAGCACTCCAGTAAAGAACGTAATTTAACTCTTTCTGCACCGCTGGGAGATCGTTTTCTTTCTTTCTATCGGGTTGTTTTTCTTTACTTGAATAGATCAAATTATTGGTGGGGACACGTCCCTTCCGTCCATGCCAAATCTACGCCCTTGGCTGTGTGAGTGAAAATGTCTCAGAGCAAAATAAAAATGAGTTTGTCAGGAAACCTGTTCAGTCATCAGGTGTTTGTGTCACAGTGTCTGATGTAACAGCTGCCAAATACAAGACGTCGTTTTTTCTTTGTCCAGCTCAGGGTTAAGTGGGGGAGGCTGTCATAGGGGAAAAGGTGGGGCACCCCCATTACTGCCACCCACAGACTACGTCCACATACACAAAAAGAATCATTCCCAGCTGTGTTTCATATCTGCACTTGTGGAGATTCAAAGGTTCAAATACAGAACTGCAGACTGGTGGCTGCTGTCAAATACAGCTGACACCAACACGATGAGTTCACCTCGTGCCCACTAGAGGCCAGCAAAGCGAACCACAGAGGGACCCAAACACTCGAGCGTCCCACTGAGAGAAGCAGAACTCAGTTTGCTGTGTTTCACAGGTGTTCCTGAACGCATCACTGTGACCCTGAAGAAGAGCTGAAACTCTTTTCCTGAGAGGATTTCTGCAGCTGACGAGCATCAGATAATGAACTAACACAGATCCAAACATGAGTTTGATGTCTTTGAGTCTGTCCTGTCTGTGGATCATGGGACTGAAAGAATGTGATGATCTCATAAATGAAACAAAATCTCAAGACGACTGAGAAAAAACATCAAATGTTTAAACTGAGAAAATATTTAAAAAGCTTATTTGAACCTGCTGGCAGCAAAAGGCAAACATGACAACAAACTCCATGTTTTATATGAATAAAAATAAAGAGCTGCAGAAACATCATCTGGCATCGGGTCAGGAACATGACGGGTATAAAAACAGAGGCCCACCAGGCTGCAAACAAACACTGAAAATCTTTAGAGCGATTCCAGATCAGTTCCTCAAACTAAATCACTTCAAATTCATCAGCACATCAGAACATCTGGCATATCTAAGCAGGCATGTGGGGGGTGGGGGGGGCTTGAGTGCTTCTTTATGGGTCCCACCAGTGGCCTTTTCTTGAGGGTTTTTCTTTTCATGTGTGTGTGGAGTCCTGTCTGTGCCCCTCAACAAGAATATTTAACTATTAATCACAATTTTGTTAAATAAAACGAGCTGGCTCGCAGCAGTCACATGACTACCATTAACCAATGATGGCTCTTAACGGCAGAGTGCACTGGTTACGAGGTGGGAACGAGCTCACAAAGAACCACATGGGTGGTGCAGAGCTGTAGGACAAACTGGGAGACAGACTGATGCAAAGGAAACCAGTAAGCAGGTGAACAGCGCACACTGTAGCCTGTAACACACAGCAGTGTCAGCTTATTATGGACACGTTCAGCTGTTTTGTGGCAACTGATGAATTGAAACAGACGAGCGTGCTGTGTGTGTAACAGCGCGACAAACATCACCTGTGTGATGCTCGTCAGCTGCTGTACAGCAGGCGGGTCTGTAGGTCTGTGCACCGTTTTAGGGAACATCTTTAGTTTCACAGTAAGCTGCAGGGCTCTGTTTCTATAATATCTTTCTATCATCACTTTATTATGGATCAGGTGTAAAGGTGTCATGTGTGGATACTTAAGTAACAGATCAATGCAATAGCAAAGTGTTCTCAGATGGGCAGCACGTGGAGAGAAGATGGAAGGAGGAAGAGTCAGACAGTGATTCACAGGCAGAGTTTATTCCTCACAGTTTTGTTGCCTTGTGTTTCCAAGCACTGTCATTTTATTATTATCTCATAACACGTGTTTAATCAGCTCCCATCTCTCCTGTGGACTCTGTAATGTCTCAGACCGACAGCAACATTGTACCCATCAGGTAAAACACAGGCTACGTTTGCTCTGCATCGTCACATGATCACAGTGATGTAACAGGATGTGGTTCCATATGAGGTTCTTGATGAATGTGTGTTGTTGTTCTCCAGCCTGGTTTTTTAACTTTGAGCCCCTTCAAACGTCTCTGCACGGCCCTGCCTCTGAGGAGCAATCTAAGTGTGTGAGGGGAAAGGACAAAAGAAGACTGAAACATCTTTTCTACCATTGAAAACACAAAGTCAGAATTTCAACTTCCTGATTCTTCTTCTTCCAATTATCTGCTCGTGTTCTCTAAGTAGAGAAGCCCAGACCTCCGTCTTCCCAACACCACCAGTCCACCCGAGAGATGTAATCCAGCACGTCCTCCCCCAGGAAACAGAGACAACAACACCGAAAGAATAAATGAACTCTAATCAATATATTACCTGTAAATTCAGTCAAAATGTTTCCATAATAACCCAAAATCATGACTTGTGAAATAAGTTGAAGCCTTTTTGTCCCACGTTGTTTGAACAGTTCGGTCCACGAGACATGAAAGGAGGCTGATATTAACAATATATATGAATAAAGTTAAAGCTGTTGAAAACACTAAAGTAAACACTCGTGTGAGTTAGGAGATTTATAAATAAACTTCATCACCAACACACGGTGATGGACGACAGTCAGGGATGATCATTACAGTGGAGTAAATGAATGTTTACACTGGCAGGTGTAGTTTTTCTTCTGTCAGCTGACGGTGTTTCACAGTTTGAGAGCAACAATGAGCACAAAGACAGAATTCAGGCATGTCCTTGATACTCTAATACATTCAGTAATCAGATTACAGTCACAGTCATGTTCTTACTGCGTGTAACTAAAGTTCATCAGTGATGCTTTTATCTTCCTGCCTCCGCACTCAGCTGCTTTCAGTTTGGGTGGAGGAAATTGCCGTAGCAGCAACATTACACACGGAAAATCACAACTCTGACTTTAATGAAACGTTTCCTCTTTAACATTATTCAGTAAGAACCACTGAGAGGATTTTCCTACTCGCTGACTAAACATGTACCAACTCTGACTCAAGCATCACCACAGAAACATGTGTGGTGGGGAGATGAGGATCTGCTGACTCTGCTGGAGTTTGCTCTGTGATAAAGACATGAACAGTCTGTGCAAAGTAACCTCAGGGTGTCAGAGCTTCAACACAACGAGGCAGAGCACAAGAAATAAGACAGAGAGAGAGAGGGCCTCTCCTGAGTCCTCACATATACACACTGTACTATGCTAGCATCACCATGGCAACTGCACAACAGCTCCATCCCAGTGCGCTCTGATAAGCTCCACCTTCTCCACCCTTCAAGGCCTGTGTACGCTGCTGGGTGGACCTATGAAGCAGAGCTGCCCAATCACAGCAGCACACAGCAGACATGTAGCATCAACAGCTCCTCACATCAACATGTGTCAGCTGTCTGTGTTCATGGTAAAGCTGATCCTGACTCTGTTCATGCCCATGATACTGGTCCTGCCTGAGAGCTGCTCATCATCACCCGCACAGACTGGAAGTCCATCACTTCCCTTTATCAGCAACGGCTCGCGGTCTAAACTCCTTTTAAGGAAACAGATGAAGCAGGAAAGGAAACAGTTTCAGGAGCATCATGTCGAGACGTGCAGGATAGAAACACAAGCTGAGAGTCGCAGCACTGAGCAGGACCAAAAGCTGACGCTGCAGGACAAACGGACAAACATTTACATCCACACACAGAGAAAAATGTTAAACACACTGAGCAGGTGTCAGGACTCCATCAGCTCAGGATGAAGGTGATGGAGTCAGAGTCTGACTGTGCTGACCACTGTGTTATAGCTGTTTACTCCACACACACTGATGATGACCATCAGCAAGGATACACAGCCGGACCTTTCCTGGAAG